GAGTCGACGGTGAGCGCGTTCGGGGATCGATATATCGCATCTTAACGAGACGCGATATATCGATCCCGGATAAATTGATTGCTACCCACCGATACGGCGGGTAGTGAAGACGTACCCTTAGAGACGTTAGTAGCTACACAAGACCACACACAGTGGTTTATACTAAGTATACTAAGTTTATACCAAGGTCATTTTCTTCTATGTTTGAAATACCTACAACAATAGCATTACTTGCCTCATCGTTATCGTGGTAAAAATCGAGTAAGCCATTTTTAATCCCTTCCATCTTTGAAAAATAACAAACAGTCATCGGGAAACATTTATTTCCCCTATTTGAGGCATCTGTTCTGATTGAGAAAAAAAATGCTAATTTGAGATCGTTAACTAAAAGTTGCTGCAATTTCAGTGTCAGTCTCAGTAATTCTAGGTGCTTTTGTAGGTCCACAAGACTTGGGTTGGTGGGTTTTGTTTTGTTGGGGGTTTTTTGCACAATATCTGAATCTGATAGACGTTTTGGAAGCCATTTGTTGCCCCAATCTTGTTTAAAGTAACGTAAATGATTAATCACGCCATGGTAAACTTCTTGTATTTCTGCTGCTGTAACTAGACTTTCCTGAAGTGTGTCCTCTGATTTAAAAAAAAAAAAACAAAAAAACAAAAACACTGATTTTTTCTGTTTTGTACATTCCACATGAATAGCAACAGCTCTTCTCCTTTCATATTTAATTGAAAATGCTTGATGAGACAAAATACATTAAGCCATAAATTCATCAATTTCGCAAAGCCAGTTTTTATACCCAGGGACCTTACACCACTCATCATTTTAAGTACAATAGTCCTTTTTCCTTTTCACAATATCTTGGAACCGCCACCACCATATCCTTTTGAAAGTGCAAAATTCTGTTCTTGCTCAGAATCCAGAATTCTGTTTGGTTGCTGTGAGAGAGCATTGATTTTATGATAACTACATAATATAAGTTGCAGCAGCAGTACAACAATTGGATGGAGGAGAGATGGCAAGTGTGCATTTTCTCACCACTTCAAACACCAGCTGGACTATAAATAGCCTTGGCAGAATTCATTTTTTTCTTTATAATTTCAACCATTTATTTTTAAGCTTTTTTCTATTTAAAAATGTAACTGTTCAGAGCTGTGGGAAATGGGAAGATCCGACAACGAAACTGATGGCAGTGGATACTGAAAGTCAAAAAGTTAGAACTTTATGACAAACACAAATTCTCAACATCACGTCAATGGATACAAATTAAACAGCCTTAAAGCCAATTGTGATAAGGTCTCAAGCAGCATTTTTCTAACTGTGCCTAGCACAGGTGCTGGAACTAGGGGTGCTCCCGCATCCCAGGGCTTGAATTGGTTTCCATTATATACATGATTTACAGTTTGCTTCAATGGCTCTCAGCGCCCTCACTGTACAAACGGTTCCAGCCCCCCCTTGCCTAGCTGTGAATTTCCATTAGCGATGGGTAGATTTGGTTCGATTCGGACTCCCCAGGAATGCCTGAAACTAATGCGAGGCTGCCCACGATCAGCCTGAGGCACCGTTCCACACCCGCCCTGGAGCGGCGCCTGTGACGCTTCTCTGGGCTGCTCGTTGCAGCCCCCGGAGACACATCGTAGTGCCCGCGACTCCCTGATCTGCGAGGCCCTGCGCGGCGCCGGGCGAGGTGGCCGGAGCGCGGCATCGGCCTTGCGTCATCCCAGGGGCAACGCTCCGATGCTGCGCGCGCTCCCTCCAGTTCCCGGTCAAGCTCGCGGCCCGGGGCCAAAGCGGCACCAACGGCTGGCGGCCTGCAGGCGGTGACAGGGGGAGGAGCCGCAGGAACACCCAGCGCTCGCGCGGCTCCCGGCCAACCGCTCCCCTCCCCGCCGCCCCGCGCGCTCCGCCCACGCCGCTCGGGGAGGAGCCACGCGCCCGCCCCACCTGGTTCTTTGTGCTCGGAGTCGGTCGGGACTCAGCAGCAGCCTCGAGCCTCCGTCGCCCCCGATCACCATGTCGTTGGGAGTCGGCCCAGAGGCGGGATTCTCCAGCGAGGAGCTGCTGACCCTGCGCTTCCCCCTGCACCGCGCCTGCCGCGACGGGGACCTGCCCACCCTGTGCGCGCTGCTGCAGGGCTCGCCCCGCTCCGACCTGGCCGTCGAGGACTCCTTCTACGGCTGGACACCCATCCACTGGGCCGCGCACTTCGGCAAGGTGCGGCCCGGCCCGGCGAGGGGGCGCTGCCCCGCGGGACCCCCAGGCTCACACGGCGCCATCTTGCTGTGCTCGCTGCCGCGGGAGGGGCGGCCCGGGAACCGCCGCCCGGCTCGGCGGAGGTCTCGGTACCGTCCGCGCCCCCCGGGGAGCGCAAGGGGCCGGGCTGTGGGGGCGCTCCCACCGGCCCCGGGGGGCAACGTGGGACGCGTCGGGCTCTCGTGGGGGCCTGTCCACGTCCCGGGGGAGAGCCAGCGGCTGCCGCGGCATCCTGCCTTGGCGCGGGCCCGGGGGAGGGACGACGGCGGCTCGGGCCCCGGCATCCCGCTCTTGCTAGTGGGGCGAGGAAGCGCCGTAGCTCATAGGGCCCGGTGCCGCGACTGGTCCCGGCCGGCCCCTCCCGGGAGCTTTATTGACAGGGACAGATCCGTGGCCCTCGGCCAAGCTTTCGAAAGGTGCCGGGGTCACCGGCAGCTGCTGCGGGAGCCAATGGGGAGGAGGAGGGGGCAGGTGCTCCTCCCCCAGCGCGCGGGGGCGGGGTGGGGTGTTGAGTTACCGCGGGCCCAGGAGGACCCACGTTCCCCACCCCCACCCCCACCCCCCGGTCCAGTAACGGTCCTTCTTGCGCGCGCAGGCTCCACCTGGAGACTTTGCTCTGTTTTGGTGCCCGTGTTATGACGACCGCGTGTGCGTTGGGACAGAGGCGATCGCTGGCCGGAGCGCGGCCCAGGGGCCCTGAGTGTGAGCGGCGCCGGGGGGATCTGCCCTGACGGCTCCCTCACTGCAGTGCCGGGGAGGTGACAGGACGCGACGCGTCGCGCCACAGCCGTTGTGTCGTGTCTGGGTCCCCTGAGCCAGTTTTGTGTTATAATTGCGGGCAGGACGTGGCCCCGTGTGAGGGAGTGCGGTGGCCCCAAAACATCTGAACATTAACTCCCTTATTTTCCCCAGTCCCTGTTATGGTTCCCTCCCCCTGCCCCCCATCTTTTGTGACTTTTCTGTCTGCAAGCCTCATTCTAGCTCTCTTCTTTCTGGTATTATGGGGAGAGAGCAGCCGCTTGTGCCTCCAAACCATTGCTTTTTATGTCAGGCTATATAAGGTTCTTAAAGGAACTTGTAGAGGGAACAATCAGGCCTGCAAGCTAATGCTAGATATCGTAAGCAAAATGCCCTGTGGCCAGATGTCTTTAATGAAAATACTAAAGGGAATGCAGAAGATTTGTTTGTATACAGTTTTGCATACAGATAGATATGTTTTCATGTATCCTAACATTTTAGTGCTCTTAGTTTGCTGCACTTTTGGCAGCAACACAAATCAGAGCAATTAGTTCAATTAAAGGAGGCTAAGCCTTTGAGGAGAGAGGCAGGAGGGCAAGCCAACAAAGAGGATAAGCAGGATACCAGTAAATTAAGGAGCCTCAATTCAATTTTTCAAGGGTAGGGGCAGAGCTGGGTCATTAAACCTCAGTGAATTCCTTTGCCGTAGCAGAGCCTTGCTGTATCTGGATTTATGAAGAGCTTCTGCACACATTGATGTAGTATATTTCAATTACAAACCTTTTCTTATATTTGTGCTAAGGGAAAATAAAACATTTTAAATAGACATTATCAGATAATTAGTTCCCGAATTTGTCATCTAGTACAAAAGTACCTGGATCTAAAAGTTTATCTATTTCATTAGATAAACATAAATACAACATGTTGCTGAGAAATGAAAATAGCTACTTCCATTGAACTTGTACACATACTTTTTTGTCCTGCTCTTGTGTTTTCTTTAGTGGAGCTTATCCTAGTTCAAAATTATTATAACTGGAGGTTGAATTAATTGCATTTCTTAACATATTGTGGATTTTAAAAATATTAGTTTCTGAAAAAATTAAATTACTGGACCTGACTCTGTTCCCTATTCTAGCCCCTTTCTGCTGCTCCAGTAGAGCAAAGAGGCCATAAATGTGACAGATCTTCCCATCCTAGCTACTGAGTCTCTTGGCATGGGGCAGTCACCCAGTGGTGTGAATCCAGCTCCTAGGCTACCCTCATCCCTGTGTAGGGGATGTAGCTGAAACATTATCATGCTCTGGTCATCCCTGACTGGTGGAATACCCCTTATGGGTGCCAAAGCCATCAGGCGAACCTTAGAACAGTTTTCTTATGTATGTTGGGACTTGTGTAGAATAATTCCCAAGATTGCAGAGCCCCAGTTTGCGCCTTTGTAGACACCCACTCCCTCCTGCTGCACCAAGCAGGTACTGGGCACAGAAGAGACTCTGCCCCACTATCTTCACAGATCATTTAAAAAAAAAATCAGGTGTTTTGACTAATATCAGTAAACAAGAACTGTCTTGTTGGTGACTGCCCCCACAAGGAAGCAAACTGAAAAGTTTAATTTTATTAGAAAGAGACTACATTTTTTTGGAGGGTTAGGGAGGTAAGGAAGGGATGACAAGGATCAAGATTTGTAAATGGAAAAGGATAAAGGTAGTAGGAAGAGAAATGCAGTGTTCTAGTTTCTAAGAAAGTATTACAAATAGAGCACAGTTCCAAAACAAAAAACAGTAAGAAAATGTATGATTAATTGTAGTAGCAGGTAACTATGCCCTGTCATTCATAAGATCTGAGGGCTCATTTGCCAGTACGGACTTCCACTGGTAGGATTTGGTGTTGAAGTATGTTAATGAACATAAACCACAGTCAATCCCAAGCTGCTCCTTATTACCTTAGATACCTCAGGAGCAGTCACTGTTTTCTGTATATTCCCTGAAAACTGAGATATGCGTGTCTCCTGGGACACTAATGGATTCCTACAAAATCAGCTACATCCAAATTAGTTAGTATTCAAGAAAATATTGTCTAGTTCGTTTATATAGTGCCTTGAATTACGCTGGGTGTTGTACAGAGCTATAAGATAGGTCAGTGTATAAAAGAATATATGCTCTAAATAGCCAACATCCAGACAAAGGAATTGAGGGCAGGGATACAGCACCAAGATAGTGGATTTTTTGAATGCTTTCCTTCTATATTTGTGGGGGGGTTTTTTGTTTTTTTAAATCCTTGACTAATTGGCCATATTTTTTCTATGACCATATCAGCTTGCCTCTTGCTTTTGTAATCCTTGACTGTTTAGTGATCCTTGACTGTTGTTGTTGGACTATTTTACTTTACTTGTATATAATGTAAGGTAAGTAAATTCTATTCCTCTTTGGGCTGTTGAACAAAAATACATAATCCAGTGTCCCCCCTTCCCTGTCATGTAAATCCCTGGAACCCTCCCCATCTTCCTTGATTAACCCTGATTCTCAATCCCCACTGTAGCTATATCATGAACTTGAAAAATATTCTTTTTTTTTTTTTTTTTTTTTTTTTTTTATTAAAGAAACCAAAAAGATGATCACCAAAACCAGTGCTCAGTGTTCGAGTCCATGGGACAAGAATAAGGGAACCTGGTGTTCTGGCCTCTTCCTGACTAGCAGCTACTTCCATTTTCTGATGGAGTTGGGACTCGGAGAAGCAGGTCTCTCAGTCCATGAGGCAGAAGGCCTCGTGTTCTGACTTTTAATGAAGTGCAGCAACTCATCCTCTCTATTATTAGACTTCTTAAAATTAGAGAAGAAGAAGTAAAAAAAAAGAACCATTTTAAAAATCACCTTGTTAAGTTACAGGCTTTGAAACCATGCTAGTGTGGGTGACAAATCAACCTTAAATGCTAGAAGAAGGGCACTGGTTCTCCAATTCCATTGCTTTTTCTCTGGAATTGACAGACTGCGACCTACGTGTAACTCACAATAAGTGGTCATTGAGGTTTCCCTGCCTCTCTTCAGGCCAGTAATCTGGATTTAAATGACAAAAAAAGAAAAATCCTTTACTTTTGGCAGAGTGAAAGATTAACACTTTCACTAGAACCTTTAGACATCTTAGTCTTTATGTTGCAAAATCTCTTACGGTTGCTAATGCTGGCTCAACTTCACCTTTGTTTGTAACTTTGGTAGGTGGGCCGCTGGCTGTCACTGGTGTCTTAAGCAAATTATTTACCCCTGCTTGATTATGGTAACCAGTCAACGACATTGGGGACCTTGGTGTGTAAACACCAGTGGAGGCAAACCAGTGTTGGTAATGGTGGGCAAATTTTGCAGAGTTCACACCACCACTACAACTGTATCTCTATTACAGCCTCTTTAAGTTCGTTATCTCTCGATATAGCTCTTAATTATTACTGCAGTTTTTTTAGCATCTATTTATTTATTTATCTTTTCAAAGAATACCTTCTCCCGTGTTGAATGTTAGGGTTTGTGGGAGCTAGGTTCATTACCACTATACTTCTTTGCTCACCCCAAGATATTTTTATTCACCGATTCCAAGGCCAGAAAGGACCATTGTGATCTTCTAGCCTGACCTCCCATAAAACACAGGTCATAGAACTTCCCCAAAATAATTCCTAGAGCATATGTTTTAGAAAAACATCCATTCTTGATTTAAAAATTTGTCAGTGATGGAGAATCCACCACAACCCTTGGTAAATTGTTCCAATGATTAATTACCATCACTTAAAAATGTATACCTTATTTCCACTATGAATTTGTTTAGCTTCAGCTTCCAGGATTGGATCGTCTTATACCTTTCTTTGCTAGATTGAGAGCCCATTATTAAATATTTGCTACTCATGTAGATACTTATAGACTATAGTCAATTCTCCCCTAAACCTTCTCCTTGTTAAGCTAAATAGATTGAGCTGTTTGAGTCTGTCATTATAAGGCATGTTTTCTAATCCTTTAATCATTCTCATGGCACTTCTCTGAACCCTCTCTGTTGCATGGTGAGTTACCATATTTCCTTTATACCCAATCTTAAATCCACTGAGAGTTTTTAATGCGTTTTATTTTCTGTATGCTGTTCATACGTCCTGTTTTCTCAGCAGAGAAGTACAGTTAGTAATCAAAGTTCTCTTAAACCTAAACCTATAAATTCATAAGTTACAGATTTAATTTTAACTTTTTTATTAAACTGGTAGGGACAGTCGCTAATGCCACAACACATTTGCCCAATTACAGTTGAAGTTTAGAAAATATATGTAGTGATCATGTATTTGTTAAAATTTTCAAACCAAGATGCCTGATTTTAGTCATTTTTCTTGAAAACTTTGATCTACATGCTCTTAATCTTCAGAATAAAATTAATCATAATACAGTGACACCTAGTATAAAACAAATGTGTGTTTGTACATAAGCTAATTTCCTAGTGATTCCTGTTCCTGAATGCCATAAGTTGGTGCCATTGCGTGACACAATTTTCCGACCACTTTTCTCTAAACCATTACCTTTGCAATTCTGCTGCCAGCCCCCCCCCCCCCCCCCCCGCCACACGCTAATCTGACATCTTTTCAAAGCATTCTCAGGATTATTTTAAGGTCGAAATATTAAAAATTTCAGCATAGTATGATATGAGATTGATTGTCAGAATAAAGAGACACCGCCAAAGTGATCATATTTGAAAAGGCAACCAAAAAACCCAAACAGATCCTTTTGCTATGTTACCAGTGACTGCACTACAGACATTTTAAATGGAAAGAATTGTAATACACATACTCGTCAGCATTTTTGGAGTATGGGTTTCCAAAACTGCAGGGAAATATTAAAGTAGAATTTTTAGTTATCATTCTTTATTGCATACTCTTCATGCGCCTTTCCTTTTAAACTTTCCTAAAAACATTTAAGTTCACAGTAGGTTTTTTTAATTCAAAAAACTAAAGTTCTAGCAAATGCTACTTGACAGTGTCTATTTAAAGTTGCATTCACAACTTTCCAGATCAGAAACTTAGCACCTTTTCTGACAGAAGCAAACAGAATACAAATCCCTACTATAATCATCTCTAAAGTATCAGTTTTTTCCCTATCAAATTAATGGTGTTGGGTTTGTTTAAAACTTTTTTTTTTGGCAAGAATTACATTTCTCTTGGCTATTTCTTTAGTGACTAAGAAACCTGGAAGAGTTGGTGAAGGCCCAGTTTATTATTTTGTTAGTCATGTTCAGCCTGCTTCCACTAATGGTCAGTTTAAACTGATATTGTTCCACTTTCTCCTTTAATTTAATCAATGATGTATATAGTATCAGGGTATATTTGATGTGTAATTTCTAAATTATTTTCCCCTTGTCTATTTAAGCTGGAGTGTCTAATGCAGTTAGTGAGAGTTGGCGCTACTGTAAATACCTGTACTACACGTTTTGCCCAAACACCAGCCCATATTGCTGCTTTTGGAGGACATCCTCAGTGCCTGATCTGGTTGGTTCAAGCAGGGGCCAACATAAACAAGCAGGTATGGATTAATGTTGGATTTGATATTGGTTTAGTTTTTAAAAATACTTACATAGCTCTGGATCCACAAAGGGACTTGTGCTGTGATGCTGAGCGTTGCAGTGCGTAACTTCTAGGCACCTAAAATGTCACAGGAACAGTGGTGCAATCCACAAAGCCTGAGTTAGGTGCCTGAACCTGGTACACAACGAATGGGGAGAGATAGGCATCTTAGAATGTGATTCCCAAAAGCTAGCTGACTAGGCAAGGAGCAACCTAAACAAGCCGATGGGAGAGGTTTCTTAAGCTCCACCCTTTTCATGGAGATAGGCACCTCTCTGCAGCCTGGATGTAGGTGACTATCTCTGCTAGCGACCCACCATGGGAGGATGGAGAGAGAGACTCTAAAGCCTTGTGCTTAGTGCATCACTTAGAAGGTGGGAGATCCAGGTTCCAGCCCCACTGCTCTAGTGACTCTGCCAAAGCTTCAACAGCAGAGATTGAGGTAGTCTCACATTGGAATATCCCATAGCTCTGGAGTTAGAGCACACTGCTTAGAGGTAGGATTTGAATAGGTGTCTCCTTTTAGAGTGGGGAATTGAACTCGGTTCTCCCACTTTCCATGTTGAGTACTCCAGTCATTGCACTGAATGTTATAACGTGTGTGGATTTTGAATGGTACCACACACCTGGATCGGGCCCCGAAAACAAAATAGGCATTCACTTGTCTTTCCCCTTGCCAGTTTGTGGATTGCTCTTGGGCTTAGGTGGGAGTGAGGAAGCAGCGCACCTGCCCATGGGCAGAAACATAGGCACCTAGGAAATATTTATGCTGAAAACTTAGGCACCGAGTGAGTTCAGATACCTACAAGGTTAGGCAGCAGCTGAGCAGGAGTTTTATGGGTTACAGTGAGGCCTAAAAACGGGAACTTAAGGACCTAAGTACCTTTGTGGCTCTGGGCCATAGTCCTTAATGAAGGGTAGTTTGGAAAAGTTTTAATTATTTGTATCTCATGCTTTCTACAGTTAATGCTTAAGTGTCTTATAAAATGAGATTTATAAAGAAATTATAATGCCCGTTAGAGTAAATGTGTTTTAACTCAACTGAAGATTTGAATAACCCATTTTATTGCTCCAAGATTTGAGGTGTGGCTGCTGTTTTCAGTAAAACTGTCTTTATCAAGTTGCTGTGTTATTAGCAGCATGACCACAATTCTGTTGTTACAATGCATCTCTTAAACCGATAAGAATGTATAAAATACAACTGTAAGTCAAGCCACCATATCTAATTAAATCATGGAAACCACCAGTTAATGCAACATGATTCAATCAAAATTCTAACTGGTATTAATAGGAGTTGACTGGGATTATTTTAGGATGTACTTGTTTTCATAATATTTCTCTTCCAAGGCTAAAGGTCTTATAAAATTCAACAAGTGACTTCTTTAAACTGTTTTTTAAAAACATACATTTTTCATCATCATAATATGGGTGGATGAATAGATTTTTATCTGAGCTAGTTAATCTTCATTACTATATTGTGAGGCTGGACTAAGATTTATTTGTGGGTAGAGGATGTATTAGTATAATAGGCAATGAAATTGTGTGGGTAACTTTTTGTACTCTGGAACTTTCTTAACAGTAATAGAGACAAACAGTAATAATTACAGATTTGTACTGTTGTGCCTTTGCAAAAAATGTGATTATTAATGCACAGCAAGCATGATCATAAATTCCTTCAGTGCTGAACAATTTGCCATGTATATTCTAGCACAGTGGTTCTCAAATTGTGGGTTGGGACCCCAAAGTGGATCACAACCCCATTTTAATGGGGTCGCCAGGGCTGGCTTAGAATTGCTGGGGCCCAAGGCTGAAGCCCAACCCCTACCACCTGAAACTTGAGGGTTTTAGCCCTGCGTGTTGGGACTCAGACTACAGGTCCCATGCCTGGAGCTGAAGCCCTTGTTCAGCTTTGCCACCCCACCTCACCCGGGTCAGTGGAGCTCAGGTGTGCTCAGACTTCAGTCCCCACTCCTGGGGTCGTGTAGTAATTTTTATTGTCAGAAGGGGGTCACGCTGCAATGAAGTTTGAAAACCCCTGTTCTAGCAGCAATGAAAACATTTATTATAATGCTATGGAGTGGCAATTAATATAAACAGATATATAGATTTTTTTTTTTTTTTTTTTAATCTACAGTGGTGGATCAGAAATTTTACAGTTGCATTGTTGTCTAGGTAATACTTCACTTTTAACAACAACAAAAGGGTGACTATCTGTTTATGCTGTAAAATATTTACCATAAAACAAATAGGATGTGCAATATTGTCAAGTTAACTCTGCTGTACGAACTTTAACTTTCATTTTTAAATTTTATTTTAATTGTGCAACTTTAACTTCTAATGTAATTTTTTAAAAGAAAAAGTTGTGTGTGAGCATTTTAATATCCAAATGGTCCCGATTGTTAAGACGAATGGGGTAGTAGAGCATTCACTGAGGTCGCATTTTACTGTGTGTTAATAGAGGCTTGCATGAGGGAAAGAGGTTAGCTTTTACCTTGAGGAAGGACTGTGCTATGATTGTTTCAATGAGACATGAACAATTTCCCACACAAAAGTTACCCCATCATCAACCTCTGGAGCTGTTGTTCAGAAATGTGCATTTTTGTTGTCACAAAAGGGGCTTAATTAGGATCTGCTATAACTGAGCATGCTCAAAGTAAGAACTGAATTTGCAGACTTATAATTTCATTATCCAACTAGCTTCTTTGCTTGTCTCGGTTTAGTGTGATGAGCCTTCCCTTGTAGTAACAACAGACTCATAGAAAGGGTCTGGATGAGAAGTACTTTTTTCTTGCCATTGAACTGTACTCTGTGCAGCCTATTGGCCACTAGAAAAGAGAGGTTGGTTCTTCCTGTTGACCCATTCTATCTGGTAATCTATCCAGAGTATTTTATCGAATAAAAAGAGTGATTTTGGAGGTAGGGAGAATTCATTAGTTTTCCCTTAAATTTGATCTCAGATGTCCTTTCGAAAGAATAAAATTTACTTGCTAGTTTTCAAAATTCAGGGTTTTTTTTAAGTTCAGGGATGGGGAATAACTTTTTTCAATGGCAAGTGGGTTGTGTTTTCCAGTCTGATGTAAATCCCAACATGCTTGAGTTTTTTCCTCATAATCTAACAAAACAAACCAATCATCTTCTAGTTAAATATAATTGTGAATAATTTCATCGTTCCAGAAGAGTGTTTCAAAAGTAGCAAGTGAATAATAGTTATAATTTAAATGTTGTCACCTTAAGTACAGGATTTGCTATTAAACAAATGCTGTAAATAAGCACAATGATCATATTTTCTGTAGTTCCCTTAATCCACTAAATGTCTGTAATTAGAGTGGCATTACCACCCCACTCCATGGTCTCAGGGGTGTTGGAGGGATTTTGTCTGGGACGGCAGGAGGAAAAAAAACTCCTTGACCCATTTAAGGAGCATACCTCTGTCTACTCCTCTTAATAAGACATTCAGCCCTCTCATGGTCTATAAGGGGACTCTGGGTTGAATGGTAGGTCATAAGGCAGTAGCAAAGCCTGTTGGCTCCTGTGAACTTAAGGGTTTTGTACTGGTGACCCCTTTCACACAGCAAGCCTCTGAGTGTGACCCCCTCCCTTACAAATTAAAAACACTTTTTCATATTTAACACTATCATAAATGCTGAAGGCGAAGCAGGATTTGAGGTGGAGGCTGACAGCTCGCGACCCCCCCATGTAATAACCTCACGACCCCCTTAGGGGTCCTGACCCCTGGCTTGAGAACCCCTGGTTTATAAGCTTCTTCCCAGCCCTGGGCACTATTCTGCATTGGAAGAAAAGCTCCCCACCTCCACTTCTTGGGATGAGAACCAGGTCTCTTGGGAGTTGCTGTGGAAATCATGCTAGTTGCGTTTTATGAAAAAAGGAATTTTCTCTTTCTGCCATAATCACGTGGCATTAGTTTCCTTATGAGGCATCCAAAATAGAGAAACCCAGAACAACCTTTACAACACTATTAAAGTAGTGGTCACATTCATAACTGGATACCTTTACTAATCCATTTCTTTAATTCATGTCAGGAAAAAGACACTGAATGTTTAGAAATAATGTAATTTAATTTTTTTGGAGCAGTTATACCTGACAAAATGTGCTCTGTCTTTGCAGGATTATGTTGGTGAAACCCCTATTCATAAAGCAGCACGATCTGGTAGTATGGATTCCATAAGTGCCCTTGTAGCTCATGGAGCTCAAATAGAGTAAGTGGGGTTTTTTGCTTGGTTGTTGTGTGTCTAACTAACTAACATAGGATAGCAAACATAGATACTAATAAAACTGAAAAAAATCAGAACAGCAAACATCTTATTAAGAGAACTTCAGTTAGACATGTTCATTTATTGTAAAACTTAAGATTTTTAACATGTCTAGTAATAAAAAATATTGCACTTGAAGTGATATCAATCAGTGCAATATATGAAACAGAGTGTATATTTAAGTTATTAAAACCATATTTATCACACCTCTGTAAAATGCCCCCAAATTTTACATCTTGTCTGTTATGTAGTTATCTATTACAACACTTTACATCATATTAATGAATAAATTTACAAAAGAGCTAGAGCAGAGTTATTTGCCAAAAAAAGATTCACTCAGCTATTAGTGTAATAACTTTTGTTAGTATATATTGTGTATTTGCACTGTTAACTTTTTTCTTTAAAGGTTTATGTACTGCAAAAACATTCAGAAAATTTCACAAACTTTTGCAACTTACAGCATGGACAAAATGGATGCAGTTTTCACCTAGACATGTTGAGTATAAGCTCTACGGCTTATAATAATGTAAATACTTTAGCACTTTGTTTATAATTAGAACTAGCTTTTATTATTTAAATGATAATTAGTGTGTTTTTGTATTTTAACCTGAAATGTGAATCTCTGAGTTATAAGTGAAGTAAGAATCAGAGTTAATTTCTTGTTTAACCCTTTGGTTTCCATCTTACTGTTTTTTGTAACGCTGCATCAATGAAATCCGCCTTAATTAGTTTTTTGTTACGGTACCATATAATGTCCAGAAAGCATAATTTACAGGTTAATAATATTAAACACAACTGTCTTGCTAGTATAATGGTGTTCAATTAAAAATTGTTATGCAAACTCTGAGTAGAATTTTGACATGTTCCTTGAAATCAAACTTAATTGTATAAATCCCCATTTTGAACTGAACACATCTGAAAGTGAATGCTTGAGGCAAACTTGAATTAAAATTTACTGTGGAATTGAGGAAACCTTAATTATCATCATCAATTAGTAGGTGACCAGTTGATTTTGAAATTGTCAGAAAGGATAATGTTAAGTGGTATAGAACTTTATAATAAAGTACTTGAAATAAATAAGATTATAGAAGTAAAATAAACTAATAGCACTAATAGAGTTTTCCTTATACAAGCAGTACAGTTAAGAAAGACTGCTCTAAATTTAAATCATTGCATTAATCTTTCCTGATATTGACATGTCATTGTGCTGTGTAGGCAAAATATTTCTATAAACTTTTGTAGAGGGTATCTAACTTCAGCCAAAACTATTTTTGGTCTTTCTAATGTAATCTAAAGTGCAAAAGAAATAGTGCAGATTTATGACAATTTGATGTAATAGATTACCAAATAGACAAAATTGGTAATTTCATTATTTGTACAGTGCTTTAGGTGTTTCATGGGGCTTTATAGACCAGTAAAATAATAGGTCCTGCCCTGAGGGGATAATAGTCTAAGGCCTCAGTTTTTCAATCTGATTTGCTTTTGTGGACTGTTAGTCTGCATGGACCCTAACTGAATGCAGTTGGACTCTGTGTAAGCCCACATGTCTGTGTTTGTAGATCAGTTGCCAGGATCAGTGCCTTAATTTGATTAATCAGTTTCATATGGAGTGAAACCCTGGGCCTAGTAAACTCAATGAGAGTTTTGCCATTAACTTCAGTGGGGCCAGGATTTCACTTATAGTTTTTCAAATTTAAATGCCTAAAATTAAGCCATATCCATATTTAAACATTTGAAAAGGGTATTGATTTTTAGGCATCCAGGTTTGAATCTGGACCCACAGTTAATGGTCTCGTTGATTATGTAACCTCTTGAAAATTCAGAGTACTTTTAAGTATTAAATTTTTATTCTTATCTATTCTATGTCTTAAAGAAGAAAAAAATGGACTCTTCCCACTATGCTATACTAATTAACTCAACCATGGATATAGTAAATGAAATGATTGATTATATGGGATCAAAAGAAGTTTTATTTTTAAATACAGAATTAAACACATTGAACCAAATATTGTAAAGCAATTATGTCTCTGATTTTAGTTAACTGTGCCTGTAGGTCCTGGTGGTGAACTTGGCCCTTGGTTCATAGTAATTTGCACTACTTATTCTGTTTTCTATAAATAAATTCTTGTTTATTTCTTTATACAGTGTTTTTGTTACTAAAAACTGTAGTTGCATGAAGATGCAGAGAATACAACTATGACTGCAGATAGGCAAATATAAAGACACCTGATATAAACAGGTATACAATGTATGCTGAATTTCACATCATTTACTTGTGTTGCCTGGGAAGTAACACAAGGATACTAAGACTTCACTGTTTCACTATGGACTTACTACTATTAGTAGTATAATATTTTCATCAGGATCTCTTATTAAAGCCTGATAATTGAAATAATGCTCTTTTAAAATTGAGTACAAAAGCTAATTTGGGCTACCACAATGTTTGATAAGTTTTTACAGTATTCTTATTACTCATTAAGTTAAATTGGAAACTAACTAATGTTGACTGTATTTAATTTTATCCTTGCTGGACAGATAATGATAACTTTAGTTTGAATAAATTTACTTTCTTGAAGTTCTCCAAGTTTACTTTATTTCCAGCATGGTAGTTCACCACTCCTATAAAATAAATACAATATGTTGCAGTCTAAACTGGACTAAGATTTGCATTATTTCCCTAATTGATGAAAGAAAATATGGGTCTCCATTCCTATGTAAATTTTTAATTGTAAAACAATTTTAAATGTACCCCACTGAAAATAGTTTGACTTTTTTGGTGGTATTTTCTTTCTCATATTAGCTGAATCATATTCTGTGCACAGTATGTCCTACATCCATAGAAATGATTGCTTCTAACTATGGAATCTTGAAGAGGGGAAGCAGGTGGTCACAATGTCCTCATATGAGTGAAAAGGTTTGCTGTGTAACTGACTTATTAATGTGGATAATACCTTTTAAAGTAATCAATAATAACTGCTGGATTTTTATTAAAATTGCATAGTAGCACAATTTATATATTTGTCAAAATTGTGCACATTAAAAATAATGATGAAACAAGTGTTCACAAAACTCTACAAAGAAAAGACTTCTTGGTGCCAGGTTTTCTTTTGCCCTGTTAATATATCTTTTCCACACCCAAATTATTCGATAACTTCTAAAAATACACTTTTATAATATTTCATTCATAAAAAAATACCCAAATATAAATGCTGAACACGCAATGTTGGATAAATGGGAAAGAAATACACATCAGTATATCTGCTGTTATTAATGACAGTGATCATTTGAAACAATTTCTGGCACTTTGCATCTGTGCATCATATCAGCACATTTCTGATCACATCATTCTTTTTCCTGTTTGTATGAACAGTTCAGACTTCTGCAACTGCCATTTGAGCAGCCACACTGTACTACTTCAATGACTCAGTCTTGAGTTGGATTGACGAAAGAGACCCTATGCCAATGGCCAATTGTTGCTTCATCTGTATCCTGCTATGGTGGCGAGAGAACTCTTCACTTGAGATCATGGCATGGTTTGATACGTGTTCATTCAGATGAACACACTAAATCTTGCTAAGGGCAGTCGTTTTGCTTAAATTGACAAAAAGGAAGAAATTCCACGTTTTTTCCATACCATGTTTGTTCTTGAAATATTCAGATATATTGTTCAGAGTTCTTGAATACCGAAATACAAGTGAAAGCTTCATTTGTTTGAGGAAGAGTTCTGTAAAATCTTGTAGAAAAATAGTTTATATGTTCTGCTGTCAAGCTGTCAAAGCCTGGTAGTGATGCGCCAGTACCATTGTCTGTGACCATTAAAGAAAAGTTACAGAGAAAAAAGTGTTTTCCTTCCTGGTTTGTGATAACTTAATTTGGTCTCCAAGGGAAGATATTGAAGTGCTGAGATAGACATGTCAATAGCCAAAGTCAAAATGAGACCAGTGGCTTTTGAAACTGTGAAATCAGTAGTACATCTGCTTCTGTTGGGTGAATGACCTACATCATGATGATACTTTATGCATTCAGCTCTAGTTGACACACAGATTTCAGCTACTTTCTCAGCAGAACTGTTGCCTGATCTATTGATTATGTATTAATTCCCAGTTAGCATTCTGTGGTTTGCCAGGGCTCAGCCTCGAGCTCGAAAAGAGTTCTCAATATGACGAGAGCCCTGATGCGCAGAGGAAAAATACTTACACTTAGGAAGGGCCTTTTGACTTTGTAATATTTTTATTAATACGGTTAGCAAGATCTCTACCTACTTTACTGGGTTGGAGTGTTTGTGATAATTCAGAATGGTCAAGACCTCTGGCATCAGACCATTCATATACTCACTCCGTCCTTTGCGGAGAAACCCGAAGTGTCAGTCATTATCTTTCTTATCTTCATTGTTACCATCATCACCAGTGGGTGTCATTCTGCCGTCTCCCAAGGCACACAGGCCAGGATATAGCTTTTATATTGTATTATGCTGATGCCCACTGTGCTTTAGTCCCTTTCCCGTATTTGAACTTCCACACCCTTCTTCTAAGGTGCCCCATTTATCATAGGCTAACTTGTTCATTCCCCCTCATTAAGATTTACATCACTCAGTCACCATAATAACTTGTGGCTAGCATGTTGTTGACACCCTTTTGCCTGCAAAATCCCCAAAATACTCTAACCAGTTTTAACTTGTACATTGCTGATATTTAGGAATTATATATTGCAATGTGATACACATATTCGATGCAGCATTCTATCTTATGACAACTTCTGATCTAGGGTCAGTTACTGGATATGAATGTTACTTGCTTATATCAGGTGTTTCTTCAGGCCTGTGGCCTTGTCTGTCTAAACTAAATATTTTACAGGCCTGTAGGCCCTTTGTTATAACATAATTAATACTTCTATTTCACCTCAATATCTTTTACCCTTGGCTACAGAACAGATTGGGAGTACATTTG